CCACACCCCACCCATGTACCATAGAAGGCATCCTAGCATGGAATGTCAGGATCACTGAGTGACATTCTCTGACCAGTTTTATGAAGTCAGACTGGATGATCAACAGGGTTTTTGTGGCCTGGAAATGTATGATATAAGCTCTTTTAGAGTTCCCCTCCAACCACAGAAGGCCATTCAGTTCATGGATCTGCATCTGAATGCATATCACGTGTCTGCACCTGCTCTGTTCTGGGAACTTTTTCCTGCCTACAGTAGCAGGTCGGGAATATTTCATTTCTGTTTTTGCACATTCTACTTTCTTGGGAATCTTTCATTTCCAGATATGCATCTCCACCTTGCAAGAGGTGTAGATTAGCCACGGAATTTTAATGACGGTTGCCAGGTGTCTGGTTTTGAATCGGACAGTCCAGTATTTGAGCTTTCTGTTCAGGAAACAAACTGAGAAAATAGAAATGAGAAAATAGAGATGTCCGGTATTTTCTAAATAAGATGTAAGTAGATTGTGATGTAATGTCAAGTGTGTCCGGTATTTTTGTTGAAACCACCTGGCAGCCCTAATTTTAATGCACCGAGTGGGTGGCTGATTGTTTGTGATATACAGTAGACTTCTGATAATCCGGAACCTATGGGACCTAGGTGGTGCCGGATTATCAAATATGCCGGACTATCAGGAGATACTATAAGCTGGTTATATATATACTGTATACATTATATACTGTATATAAAGTGTTCTTAACCCTTTTTATTGTACATACTGTGATGTTTTAGTTTTTTTAAGCCTTTTTTACCCTTTTTGCTCAGTTTAGCTGCTGCCGCTGTTACCTTGTGACTCATTTTTTGCCAAAGCTCACTCACTGGGCTCTTGCCATTTTGATGCCGGACTATCAGGAGTGCCGGACTATTGGATGCCGGGCTATTGGAGTTTTACTGTTCAATTCACTGAGGTTTTACTTCATTCACAGCTTTAAAAACCAGGCTGGGTGATTTACACAACAGATTGCTCACCTATTGCTTTTCTGACATACATTGGTTTTGCCTTTGCTATAATTGGAGTTAGTCTGAAGTTACTGGGATGAAAAACAATAGAAATGCTCGGCGCACAGCAAATTTGGGGTCAGTCGGGAACAGAACCCAAATGGCTGGACTGTGCTCAGTTGGGGCACGTCTACACAGCAGGGCTAAACTCAAAATTAGCTCTGCAACTCGAAACGCAATAGTTTATTTCAAAATTGGGCACGCCTACACCGCACTTATTTCAGAATAGAGCACTCTTCCCCCGACTTCCCTTATCCCTCCTACAATGAAGTTTACAGAAGTCGGAGTAAGAAGCCCGTTATTTCAAATTTATTTTGAAATAACGGGCTTGCTGTGTAGACGTACACTCTGTTATTCCGAATGCGCACGGACGTTATTCTGAAATAATGCTGCTGTGTAGACATACCCTTAGAGACAGGGCCACATACCGGGCTGACTCCAGGAAAGCAGTCCAAGTGACTCTAAGATCGTGTGTACGTATAAGGAAGTGCCTGCTACTGGAACTCCATCAGGGTAGCTACGTGGGGGCGAATTTCCTGAATGTGGATAGAGCCTCACCCCCGGGTCTTGGACCTCTTTCAGTCCCCTTGGGCATAGGCAGTAAGTGACCCTCCCTCCCCCGTGCCCGCACGCTACCCTCCACTCAGCCAGGCTCAGCGGCCCAGTTCAGCGTGGTTGGCGAAGGGTGTGAGTTGCACATTGGGCAGTGGGTGTTGGTTACGTGTTAGGTAGTATGTGTGTGTTACACTGTAGGCAGTAAGTATTGTTACCTGTGGGACAGTGGTTGTGTGTTACATGTTGGGCAGTGAGCCTGTGTTACCTGTGGCTCAGTATTACATGTTGGATGGTGTTTGTGAGTTACATGTTGGGCAGTGTGTGTGCGTGTGTGTCACCTGTGGGGCAGTGCATGTGAATTTACAGGAAGCCGACTGAGAGAGGCACAGTCAGTGGGGAGAAACTGTGAGTGACACCAGCTGGATTCTTTCATGTTCCTGGACACTAGGTCTTTGCTACAGAGTTAGGTTGACCCTACTTCATCGTAGCAAGGTGTGAAAAATCCACCTCCCCTCAGCGACACAGTTAAAGTGACTTGGCCCCTAGTGTAGGTAGCACCAGGCCAGTGGAAGAATTTGCCAGTCGACCCAGCTGCTGCAGGGAGGTGGATTAATGTCAGCGGCGGGAGAACCTCTCCTGTCGCAGCTATGTAGCTACACTGAAGCGTCCAGCTGGGTTGCAGCAGCGTTTCTAGTGAATTCAGCGCCTCAGAGCGCAGAGGTGGTTTCTCTTCGTGCCATTTCTCGCGGGTGTAACGCCGCTGGTGTCACGGGAGCTGTTCCTGATTGACACCACGTCAGATCTGCCATGGCTGGAGGGTTTGGCGGCAGGGGACTGGGGAGGGAGCAAGGCTGCTCTTCGGCAGTTGGACAAGTTGGAAGCAACTCCGGGGCTGGAACGGGACTTGCTGCGATTATCCCCTAAGCAAGCTCCCAAATCTGAGTTCTGCGCACCCCGTGCAACAAGGCGGCTCGGATGGAAACTGTGACAAGACCCCAGCGCTCGCACGTGGGGCTGGCAGCAGGAGCCGATGCGCTAACAAAGCATTCCTCCGATGAGGATGTCATTGTCTGAACTGGAGCAAGACCCGGAGCTCTGCCGGTGCCAGATACTCGGAGGTCTTGTTTCTGGCCTTTCTCCCTGTCAGTGCCTTTGATTTAGGATTGTTTTTTCATGTCACATTCCTGCACGGGCTCCGTGGCCTAGCCCAAGCAATTTCTAAGCTCTGCGCCTGGCTATAAAAAGCGACAGGTCTGTGGGCACTGCTAGAAGACCTGCCTCCCATTCTCGGACCTGGGGCTCTGACTGGCTCATAAGCTGTCCAGCAGCCCGGGCGTGCAGAGGTGGCGTGAAGCTGGGCTAAAGGGAGGGGCACAGCAAGAGCACTGGGAAATGTTTCCAGCCCTCTAGCGCCAGAGGGTTTGGCACTAAACCCCTATCTCACACCGACGGCTTCTTTGTACGGGTGCTTCATGTTGTCCAGTCCCCCATCCCAGGAGCTGTTGGAGGGGGAGTGGTGCTGATCATGACACTACATAAGAACGGCCATACTGGGTCAGACCAAAGGTCCATGTAGCCCAGTGTCCTGTCTGCCAACAGTGGCCAATGCCAGGTGCCCCAGAGGGAGGGAGGGAACAAAACAGGTAATCATCACGTGATTCTTCTCCTATCATCCATTTCCAGACAAACAGAGGCTAGGGACACCATTCCTACCCATCCTGTCTAATAGCCATTGATGGTCCTAACCTCCATGAATTCATCTAGCTCTTTTTTTTGAACCCTATAAAAGTCCTAGCCTTCACAGCATCCTCTGGCAAGGAGTTCCACAGGTTGACTGTGTGCTGAGGGAAGAAAAACTTCCTTTTGTTTGTTTTAAACCTGCTGCCTATTCATTTCATTTGGTGACCCCTAGTTCTTATATTGTGGGAACAAGTAAATAAGTTTTCCTTGTTCACTTTTTCCACACCAGTCATGAGTTTATAGACTCTATCATATCCCCCCTTAGGCTTCTCTTTTCCTAGGAAAGTCAGATTTGTACCTCGAAACGGGAGGGTCCCAATTGGCAGCTGGCCTGCTGGTGAGGCTGATGGGGGGGCGGGGGCGTTCAAAAGGTGGAAAGGCAATAAATCTTCTAGTCTGTCCTTGTGGCTGGGGGCTGCGTAAGATGAGCACGTGGAAGGAGGTGTACATCTGTGTGTGGCAGGGAGGGTGAAGGGACAGGTAGGGGTGTCTCCTCATGCCTTCTCCTCAGAGCACTTCTGCAAACAGTGAAGCAGGGCTAAGTGGGAAAGTGAGTAGCCTGAGCGAGGAGGGAGAGAAAACAAGCAGGCCCGTGTAAGCCACTTTCATGTCCCTCTGCTGGGATTTCTTGATGGGTGGCCCTCTACATGCTGCAGACTCTCTCCCCACAGGTCCCTCTGCGTGAGAGCTCCCGGGTTAGCAGCGGGTAAGGAAGGCAAAGGAGGGCATTGCCTACCCAAAAAGACAGGGGTGGCCCCACCCACGCTCCGCTCTCCCCCCTGCGTGAAGAAGGCTGCCGCTGCTCTTGGTCTGGCCCTGGGGCTGAAGGCTGGAGGGGGTCAGGCGACTGGGGGTTGGGTCTGGCCATGCAGCCGTGGCCGCCTGGCACTCCAAGGCTGGGGACGTGCTGCAGCCTGGTCCCCCTGCGCTGGGGCCGGAAAGGCTGAGGCTGCGTGGTTGCCCGGCCAACCTGCGCTCCAGTAGGCTGAGAAGGCTGGGGCCTTGTGGCTGCCCAGCTAGCCAGGAAGGCTGGGGCTGCACGAGAGAGGACTGGGGGGGCGAGGCTGGTTACTGTGGTGGGGGTTTGGTTTGGCTCCATGGGATGCAGGGGTGCAGAAGTGGTGGGGCTTTGGGGAGAAGGGATGGGAGTGGAGTTTGCCGTCCCTGGCTGGGAGTTCACCCACCGTTGGGCCTGCCAGCATGTTGCGTCCCGTCACACCCAGAGGGCGGTGTGGGCTCCGTGGAGCTGTAGCCGGCTACAGTCAGAGGCCGATGGGGGAGCTAGCAGAGATGCTGCGCTCCCTAGGGAGAGAACTCGCCCGGGATGGGGTACAACACAGGCTTGGCAGTCGCCGGCTGAGCTGCCCATGACCAAATGCAAGGGTCTGGGGCCGTTTCAGTGGCAGTGTCTGGCGCTGGAGAGCAGCACTCCAGGTGCAGTGGGTCCTCGCTGGGCTCTTAATGCGGCTGCAGCTCCTTCATGGAGAGGGACTGCTAAACAGCTCGGCAGCCAGGGGGACCCTTCACCACGTCCTTTTCTTAGGGGGACTGATTTCAGGGACTTCTTCCCATGGCACAATTCCCTTCCGGTCCCAGCTGTGCCCCAAAGCAGCATGGTTTTCCATTCCACCCCGCATTTCGTGACTCCCTTTCTCTTATTTTTCCCACAGAAACACCTAAGAGCCCAGCAGCCAAAGGGGCAGCAGGATTCCCAAGAGCTGACGGCCGGGAAGAGAGCAAATGGTGAGATGCTGGCTCTGACCCACAGGCTGTGTCTGGCGGGGAGGAGAAGCCCCTGCACCCCCTCTGCTCCTGCACCCTACCTCCTACCCAGATTCCTCATCCCACTCCTGCACCCCCTTCCCGCCCAGGCCCTGCACCCCCACTCCACTCCTGCATCCTCCCAGATCCACGAACCCCTAACCCGCTCCTGCATCCTCCCGCCCAGACCCAACCCCCCAAATCTGCTTCCCAGCAGCCCCCCCACACTGAACCCCTTGTTATTGGCCCCACCCCAAAACCTAAAGAGGCCCACAAACTTTACTAATTTACTAGTCCCACCACCTCCACTAGGCTCTGGTGTGTGAGGAGAATGCAGGCAGCGCCTTTCTGCTTCTGATTTGGGGGCCATGTCAGTGAGGTGAGGTGGGGTTTTTTTTTCTTCCCACTGATTTTTCTCTGGGTCAGGGGCCCCCAACCCAAAAAAGATTCTTTACTGACTTGAGTTAAATCAGAGTGGATTCTCTCACTCCAGTTTCCCAGGGGATCTTGGCTTTAGTCCTACCTGACATGGTGTCTCAGTGCCCCACATCCAATGGTACCCACCAGTTTTAAACAGCCCCTTGGAGAACCCGATTCTATGTGGCAGACTCCCACGGGGCCCCGCTATTTCCTTATGGCCCCATAGCCTCGCCTCGGTGCCTCCAAAACAGACCTACGCGGAGTTCTCACACTCTGCTTGCCGGAGTTTCTCAGGAATCCCAATATCCTTGAAACTTCCATTGTCTATGCAGACCCTCCATTGATACGGGTCATTTTCAGCCAACCCGTTCCTGGCGCCCCCAACAGGCCCATGACACAATACCTCTGTCTCTTTCGCTGCCCTCAATACAGCCCTTTGGCACCCTCCGGGAGCTGGGCAAAGAGCATAAGAAAACAAAAGCACATTACAAGCGATTTCCACTTTATCCCGCACAGTGCCTTAGAAATTGACAGAGTATTTGGCGTGCGTTCCTGGAAAGGCATCCTTGTTCACGTGGAAATATTGTAAAGTTTGCATGAGACAAACTGCACAGTGCAGAGCCAGGCTAGAAATAACGATCTATAGCCTCATCTGGTGTAAATTAGTTCCGCTTCATTGACTCCGTGGAGCAATGTTGATTTACACCCGCCGGGGAACTATGCAGAAAGCCCCTCTAATGCTAATAAACGCTGTCATGCTGCTACCACAGAAGTCCGTCTATCCAGAAAGCAGGCTGGTGTTGGCAGGGTCTGCAGTGTAAACTTTCCCCCATGCTGTCCAGGAACGAGACTCAAAGAGATTCACAGTGAGCAGCAAATTCCACATGTTGCTGTTCATGGATTGACCCTGCTAGTGACTCTCGAATGCCTGGGTGACACCAGTGCTCGTGAAAATGCGAGCAGGTTCTGAAAATGCCATGAAGTCATGAGGGAAGGGAGTGAAAACCCAAGCTGCTTGCCCCAGGAAAACGGGCAAATAGGATTCTGGGAAGCTGCTTAGTGTTTATTTATGGACAGAGAAATCAATGACTGATGTCTAGTCCTACGTGTGAGCAGATGAATACCACAAATGGCAAGCTCAAAACGCTGCAAGAGCTGGCCAAGCCGTCCCACCCAGCGGTGAAAGTAACTTAACATCTCTGACAGGTCCGGTCCTATTGCAACCCGGGTCCCTGCCACCCCTTTAAGTAGCTCCCTGCTGGCTTTTGCGCAGCTCAACCAGCTCTTGCCAGAGCGATGCACCAGTGTGCACCCGCTTCCTTTCACCTCTGGTCCTGTCCCTAAAGAAGCAGAGATCCAGTAATAGAGGGACATTGCTGGAGGGGCTGGTGTCTGTACACCAGTGGGATGAATTGGCCTACGGAGAGGCATATTGTTGCTTTGTTCAGAGTTAATGCCCTATGTGTGAATGGCTGGCTCAGGCAGAGAACTACAGTCTAGTGCTCGCTACCCACGGAGTTATTCAGCAACAGTGTCTGCCATTGGTTAAAGTCCTGTTTAAATAGCTGCAGTCACCCAGTCAGGAAGTGGACACTGTACCTAGTGACCACTCACATGCAGCAGTCAGCTGTAGCAGACTGTTCACAAGGCAACCAATGGCTGGAAATGATTTGCTCCAACCTCAGGTTGAACCTCCTAAATCCAGGACTCTCTTGTCCTACCATCGGGGCCGGCGATTCCCATCCCCGGGAAGTCCCATCTGGGTGCAGCAGGAGCAGGATAGAAACAGGGCCGCAGTGGCTGGGAGCGCTGTCCCCGGAGAGCCCCTGCCCGCTGGCAGCAGTGAACCAGAGCCAAGCCCAAACCCTGTAGCAGCAGGGCTGGAGCGGAGCTAGCCGGAAGGAGGGGCAGTGTCCTGGTAGGTTGGTGGCAGGGGACCTCCCCTGATCCGGAAAATTCCCTCATTCCGGACTAGGGAGGTCCAACCTGCTTGCAGAAACTGGGAACGATTGGCGGGAAGCAAGACCTAAATGAGACATGCTTGTGCAGTGAGACAGAGCGGGCTACACCCCTCAGCCCTGGGCTTAGCTGAGAGGCCCAGTGAGTCTCTTCAAAACTTGTCCCCTTTGCGGAGCACACGCTGCCAGTGGGTGCTAGCTAATTAGTACCAGCGGTAATGTGGGTAGTTGTCCCATAGGAACTAGACTGAGATCATATTTTATGTGGGCCACCAAACCGCCACCAAGCACTGATGACTGGACCCAGGCTGGTGACTGCGTGGAGAGCAGCCCCGGATTCCTGTCCGCAAAACCAGCCAGCCACGGTCTAGCCATTTATGTTTCATTTGCACCCCCTGCAGCCCCCTTGCCCGAGGATGAGGAGAGGAAGAAGGCGATGCTGGTGGAGGAACAGAAGAGTGATATTGCGCGGCTGCTACAAGGACATCAGGAGGAAAAGGAGAGGCTGACCGAAGACATTAAAATTCAGGTTGGATCAAAGAGGCTTCCTCATTCCAAGGGTATCTGTCTTGGATCCTGGCACAGGGTCCTTGGCATCCATGCTTCTGCTTCCTGGCGCTCCCTCTGCAGCACGATCACAAGTTCCCAGCTGTGGAGTAGGCTACGGCAGGACTTTGGTTACCTGGGAGTCTCCAAAGACACCAGTCGGCGTGAGAGCCTTTGGGGGATCGGCTAGCAGGCTTTGACATTTCCCCCTCCTGGCCCTGATTTCGCAATCACAGCCAGCTGGCCTGTGTGCCTTCCCCAGGCGTGGTGGGCTCAGCAGGAGGTCTCAGCAGCTGCACTCATGAGAGTTCCTGCACTGCCTATTTCCAGTGGGGTCAGGAGTATCAGCTGCTCCCCTGTTCCTGCTTGGCCCTGCTCTGTACAGAGTGCTAGCACCCAGTCCCAGTTCTCCCTCCTTGTGCTCCAGGGAGTCACCCACCCTGCTCCGTCCTACAGCTCTTTTTATATAGGCCTGCTGGGCCCTGATTGGCTGTTCCTCCTCCCTCTTGTGAGTTTCAGCCCATTTGCTTCTGATCTTTCCTGTCAGCAGGGGGAAGGAAAGTTTTGGGCAGGGTTCCTTATAAAGATGTTTTGGGCCTGCTCACAATTCAGATTTGTTCTTACCCAGGAGATGAATGATCCTATAGAAAACTAGTCATTACAGGACAGATATACCAATGCTGACAGAGCAGTAAACACGCTGACTACGTCTACACTGGCATGATTTTCCGGAAATGCTTTTAACAGAAAAGTTTTCCGTTCAAAGCATTTTTGGAAAAGCGCGTCTAGACTGGCAGGATGCTTTTCCGCAAAAGCACTTTTTGCGGAAAAGCGTCCGCAGCCAATCTGGACGCGGTTTTCCGCAAAAAAGCCCCGATCGCCATTTTCGCGATCGGGGCTTTTTTGCGGAAAACAGTACTGTGTTGTCTACACTGGCTCTTTTGCGCAAAAGTCTTTCGGAAAAAGACTTTTGCCCGAACGGGAGCAGCATATTATTTCCGGAAAAGCACTGATGATTTTACAGGAGATTGTCAGTGCTTTTCCGGAAATTCAAGCGGCCAGTGTAGACAGCTGGCAATGATTTTGCAGGAAAACTTGCCAGTCTAGACACAGCTGCTGTGTTTGCCTTGTTTAGTTTTCTTAACCTCTAAAGTCCCTGGGGATTTGTCTACACTGCACAGTTATTTCAGAATAAGCTATTCCGGAATAGTTACTCCGAAATAGCTTATTTTGAAATAGCAAGTCTACACTGCAGGGAAGCCTCAACATTAGTCCGAGGCCGGCTTTCCTAATATAGACATGTTATCTCGATGTAGAGCCCCAGGAGGAATAACTTAGAATGGCCCTGGTGAGGGGCTATTTCGAAATAGCAGAAGTGGAACGTCTACACACGCCTTGTTTCGAAATAGCTCTTTTGGAGTAGGCGTTGTTCGTTGTAGAATGAGGTTTACAGATTTAGGACTAAGCCGCCCGTTGTTTCGAAATGATTTCAGAATAACGGAATGGCGGTGTCGATGCTCGCATAGTTATTTCGGAATAACTTTGATGTAGAGACACACCCTGGAGCAGGGGTGGGCAAAAGGGCCTCCGCAGGTTGGATCTGGCCCACCAAGCGGGTGGATCTGGCCCGTGGAGGCCCTGCTGCTCCCCCGCCCCGAGTCCAATTAGGGCCTCGGGGTGTGAGAGCACGCGAAGCTTCCTGCTGCCCTGTGAGCCGCACGCAGCGCTTTGGAGCACCCCACCCTGCTCGCACGGTGGGAGGAGCCATCATGCGCTCCCTTGCCCACAAGCCCTGATTGGCCTGGGGGCAGGAGGAGCGCGCAACGTTTCCTCCGCCCTCCCTCCCGCCTTGCGAGGAGCGCACCGCACTTCTAAGAGCCGTACGCTCGTGCAGGGCGCGGGAAGCTTTGCACAGGTCCCCCGCCCCCGGGGCCAATCAGGACTTGGGGGCAGGGGAGCGCGTGACGTCGTCTTCCACCCTGCGAGCAGAGCGTGGCACTTTGAGGTGCCATGTGCCTTTCGCAGGGCGAGGGTAGGACGGGAAGGAGGCTTCGCGCAGCTCTCACCACCCAGGGGCACGGGTACCTAGTGGGAAACATTCTGGCCCCACCCCTCCCGGATTAGCCTCGGGCCACTTCAAAAATTTTTGACGTGGCCCCCAGCCAAAAATTATTGCCCACCTCTTCCCTGGAGGCTTTGCCACATCATGGAGACTGTGTGCCAGGAAGGATCAGGATCCCTGAGGCTCATTTCTAACCTGCTTGCACCACAAAAAAAAGTGGTCCTGTGGCGCCTTAGGAGCTCACCTAAAAGTACAGAATCATGAGCTTTCGTGGGTAGAACCCACTTCCTCGGGTGAATTGGAGTGGAAGTAACAAAACCCAAGAGGTGTCTATAACAGGGTAATACGTGATATTGAAGGTCATACACGTGAGCAGGGGTCTGGTTAAGATTCGCACCCTCAGTTGTCACCGTTAGAAGGCCCCACGTTTGTCATGGACATCACAGGAATCATGACATTGAAATTCCAAAAATCTCAGAAATGGCTGTAAAAAAACATGAATCCGGCCCCTAAGTTGAGGGTTGGCACTGGGAGCTGGTGCCCAGGGGGTCGCTGCACTGCTCGGATTTGGCCCTTCCAGGCTAAGAGGTGCTAAGGTAGGCCTGGGCAAAATATGGCCCGTGGGCCGGATCTGGCCCATCAGGCCACCGGATCTGGCCCGCACAGGCAACAGGGAGCCCCAGGCAGGCTCCCCAGCTTGCCCTGCGTGTGCAGGAACGTGGCTGCAGGGCTCCGTTTCTGTTTTAAAACTGGAGGGGAGGGGGGAAGTTTTAGGAGCCGCTCTACCCCAGCACATTCCCATTGGCCGGTTTCTGGTAGAAACCGGCCAATGGGAGCTACTTGTTAGAATAACAGGCAGCTAAGAAGAATCACGCCCCCTCTCCTGGGTTCAGTTATTCATGAAGCACATGGCCAGGCAGGCTGGGAAACATTTTAAGCTGTGCACATAGGCAGGCTAGTTTGGCAGCTGGCAATTAAGTCTCTTGGCCACAGCCTGCTTGTGGCTTTCCTGCCCCAACTCTCTGCCCCCCGCTCAACATACCCAAACCCTCTGCCCCCTCTTACAGCCACACCCCCTCCCAGATCTGGCACCCCAATCTCCTGCCCCAGATCACAGTCCCTTTCCAGCCTAGGTCTCATGCCAAATGCCTGCAATCCAGTCCCCTTCCCTAGGTTACAACTGCCTGCCTCATCCCAACTCCCTCCCAGACTCCAGTCTCCCTCCTGCACCCCGGTCCCTTACCCCAAGCTCCCTTCTGCACCCAACCTCCATCCCAGACCCCGCGTCTCCATTTATATCATGCAAGAGTGCGGCCCTTGACCACTTTCCAAAATCTTGGAGTGGCCCCCCCATTAAAAATTATTGCCCACCCCTATGCTAAGATGTGCTGCGACCCATTCACCAGCTCGCAACGCCCAGAGCAGGAAGCTGCACCTCGCCCCGCTATACAAGAGCTGCTATTGCAAGGTGAGCTCACTCGCCAACCTTCCCTCACTTGCTGGGTTTCCCCCCTGAACTCCTGTTGTGAATTGAACCAAAAATTTCCCTGCCTAGCTCAGCCTCAGCTGAGGAAAATGGAGCTTGGCCATTCACTCCCCCTTTTCCTGATATCACCTGCTTAGGCAACAAGGACAGCTGTCCAGGAAATTCTGCACAAGTCCGGGGCCCTGCAGGTCAGCTGTCCTAGCCCAGCTGTGCGTGACACTCCTCCTCCCCTGCTATAGCTGCGGTGATATTAACCCCTTGCTGTCATAAGCACCAAAAGGAAATTCATTAAAATAGCAACAGGAGCCGCTGCCCAGGAGATGAATAAGAGACTGCACAGAGGAACACTTGGATGTCTCTGAAATCCCCGGCTACTCAGGCCTTGTTGTTCACTTTGTTTCTAGGTGGAAAAGGAAAGAGACTTAGTGCTTAAAAAGCAGGTCTCGGAGCAGTTCAACACACTGAAGAGAGAGCATGAAGAGAACCTCCGAGGTAAGGCCGGAGTCTCTCCTTAGCTGGGCGCTGGCTTCCCTCTGCACCAGCGTTCCCTGTAAGCTGAGTGCTTGGGCAGCCACCCAAGAGAGATTCAGATGGTACCCAGCTGATGAGAAGCACTCGCACAGCCAGCATGTATCTCTCTATTGGTGGTGCACATCAACACATGCCTCGGTGCACATAACAAAATTTATTCTGCACTTGGATGGAAAAATGGATTGCTCTATGCCACTGCTGCTACGGTTAAAACTTCTTTCAGGCCTTTTCTTGCATCTTTTCTCTCCAACCCCCTTGGCTCTTTTGAGCAAGGGCCAATCACTCCTGTAAATATTCAATGTTGTCATTGGATGCTACATGTCCAAGAGTTCTCCCCACTCTCTCTTTGACTGGCCAGTTGACAGTTACCTCCCATGCCCTCTTAATTGCCCGTACTGTCTCCTATTATGCTCTTGATGCCCTGAGGGTGTTTACTTAGTGGCATGTTGGCATCACCCCATCAAGCCAGAGGGGAGAATGCCCTGGAGAGAGGCCGGCAGGAGAAACGACTCTGCATTGTGTTACTGATCATGGCGTGTTTGTAGAAACCCAACCCAACGTTTGGAAAATTGAGATCTTGCTCTTGCAATGCCAATGCCCTGAAATTAACCTAAAATTCTTCAAAAAGGAAACGCCTTCCCTTGGAACTAGACAGGGGTGGGCAGTAATTTTTGATGGGGGGGCCACTCCAAGATTTTGGAAAGTGGTCGAGGGAATGGAGGAGATGTGGGGTCTGGGATGGAGGCTGGGTGCAGAAGGGAGTTTGGGGTAAGGGATTGGGGTGCAGGAGGGAGAATGGAGTCTGGGAGGGAGTTTGGGTGAAGGAGGCGATTGTGACCTAGGGCAGGGCACTGGGATGCAGGATTTTGGGATGTGACCTAGGGTAAGAGGGGACTGTGATCTGGGGCAGGGGATGGGGGTGCCAGATCTGGGAGGGGGTATGGGTGCAGGAGGAGACAGAAGGTTTGGGTATGTGGGGGGAGGCAGAGGATTGGGGAAGGGAAGGGCTGGGGTGCCAGTGGCAGGGCTTTGGGGAAGGAGAGGTTGTGGTGTCCGTACCAGTGGGTGGGGGAAGGGAGGGGCTGGGGTGCCAGAGGCAGGCTCTGGGTGAAGGTGGCTTGCTGCTGCACATGGCTCTGCTCTGGTATGAGAGGGAGGGGAAAAGGGAGGGGGGATGAGGAGGGAGGGAAAAGGCTTCTTACACTGTCCTCGCTCCCAGCAAAAATTCTTGGCTCCAATTGGCCGGAAACTGAGAGATGGGCCAATGGCAGCTAAGAGATTTTGCTGGGGGGCGGGAAGAGCATGAGAAGTCTTTCTCCTCCCTCCCCAGCTGTGGGGAGCAGAGACCAGCTGGCTTCCTAAAACCTGAACTGATCTCTGCCCAAGGGTTCCGGCGAGGGGGCGTGGGCCGGATTTGGTGGCTTGGTGCGTTGGCTCTGGCCCCCTGGCAGCCTCTTGAGCTAGAGGCTTTCCAGAGAGCTCCTGGGCTGGCACGTTTACACTGCAGCCCGCAATGTGTGATCTGGTCTCTCAGTCTCCGCAGTAAGGCTGTGAATGGGGCATTCCCTCTGCAGCATATCGCCTCTCTCCTTAGCGTAGCAATCGCTCACCTAGGAGCTCTGTGACTGTAGCTGAGGGAGTCCTCCAAGGAGCTCCGGACTCCAAGGCTGCTCCAGGAAACTGCACGTCCACTGCCGTCAGCCCCAAAACGCTTTGTGCTAGTGCCGCTTACCACCATTCTGTGTGGGATTGGGGATCAGGCAGGGCTTGCTTTCCTGTCGCCCACTTCTGACATTGCCCGTATGGTTCCCCTGCAGAACTCCAGAGGGCCCACGACCAGGAGACGCTGCTCTTGAGGGAATCCTACCAGAGGTCCCAGTCTTCCTTCCAGGTATTGCCCCCTTTGCTTTAGCTTGCTGAGACGGTCCCCGTGGAGCAGAGCTCTCTAGATTCAGTGCAGATTCAGGGCTTGGGGGAAAGCTTGCGAGGCACCTGCCTGACCTATCGTTGCAGCAAAATAGCATTGTCTGCCCCTCACTTTCACAAGAGCCACACTGAGAGAACAAAGGTTGTTTGAGCTGCCCAGAGTCCACCAACCTTGGCTGGCCGCCTGTGAGAGTGACCACGAGTCCGGGGGCGCCTCACAAAGTGAGCTTGCCTTAATTTTGCAGCAGATGTTTAAATCAAGATGGCCACCAGGGCTTTACATTCCAAACCATAAAGCAGCCCTTCCCTGGCTCAATCAGAAAAGTGCCACATGGCCCCAGCATCTTCTTCACCCTTGCCTCAGCGTACCAGTCCTAGCAGCCAGCAAGCCTGCAGTTCCCCTGGCTCCCCTGTTCCTGCTTAGCAATGCTCTATCACTTACTTACAACACACCCAGTTCTCCCTCCTTGTGCTCCAGGGAGTCACTGACTCTGCTCCATCCTCCAGCTCTTTATATAGGCCTGCTGGCTGCTCCTCGTAGTCCCTCTCCTATTGGTTGCCTCCTGCACAGGGAGGGCTCTGTTAACCCCCTGTATGCCAGTGTGGGGCTGCACCCCATCACACCATTATTGGCATAGGGGACAGATGCAAACATTGGCTTCAGAAGAGGGGCTGTGTTTGGAATGCCTCCGCGCTATTCATGGTGCTCAGAGCTCCGGTTTTGGCTGGCACATCTCTACCAGCAGGCAAGTCGGTACCTTGAGCACTCCCAATGTGAAAGGTTGGTGCAAATGAGTTACCAAACTGCCATGCTTGTAGCAGAATTGGCAGCGGCAGGGCGTCTGTTCTTCTACAACTGACCCAGGAAGTGCTGATCACAAATTGATCTCTCTTGTGGTTACCAACGAACCCGTTGTAACCAAGGCAGCCATGATGGCAGAAGGCATTACCGTGGGAACTGCTCCCTGCTGCCATTAAATACTGTATTATGGGATGGCCCCCTGGGGCTTCATTATTCGTGGTGAAATGTTTTGCAGATTGACTCATGCCACCCCTGTCCAATGCAATCTTATCTGAACAGCTCCCCTGCTGAGCAGGAGGTCATACAACAGGACTCATCATCACGCCCCTCTTCCTTTCTCTTCTCCCCCAGGAGACGATCGACAGGTTGAATTCCCAGCTGAAATCCTTCCAAGAGAAGATGAAACGGGTGGAGGAATCGATCTTGAGCAGAGACTATAAGAAACATATTCAGGTGCAGAAAAACAAGCAAACTCTGACCTCTTGGAGCGTGTTTCTTTAATCCATCATTTGCCAGGGTCTCGGCGCAAGCCTGTTGGATTCGCAGAGTCCTAGAAGCGTCTATGTGCGCTAAATTGTCACCAAAAGAAAAGGCAAGGCCTCTGTCGAAGACACCCCATCACCGGATCTGGAGAAGGCAGTGTTCTTAGTGCCTGGTAAATCTGTAGCGGGTTGGAGCAAGCAAAGGGATAGAACATAGACCGTAAGAAAATTAAGGGTCCTAGTATATGCATTACGTTGAAGCTCCTTGCACGTAGGTGGTGCAAACACCGTAAAGTGGTGCAGGTAGGTCTGAATGAAATGTGTACGCACGTTTTCTGGGGTAAGAATCCTACCAGTCCAGGACTGAGAACACTGGACCGTTGTGTCTGCTCATTGTTGTCACGTTTGGCTCCCCTTTGTTCAGGAACAAAGCCCCCCCATCCTCTCCAGTCAGCGGAGGACTCATCCCTTTTCTTTCTCCTCTCCTAGGATTATGGGAGCCCCAGCCGGTTCTGGGAGCAAGAACTGGAGAGCCTTCATTTTGTCATCGAGATGAAGAACGAACGCATCCATGACCTGGACAAGAAGCTGCTCAACTTGGAAATGGTGGTGGGTTGGGTGTTTTTTCCTCGCTGCTTTCCAGGGGCAGCGAGAGCAGAGGTGGAAAAGCAAAGCACAGCTTCCGGGAGCGCGCGCCGCCTGCCGGAATGCAAACCGCGCTGTCCAGACGCATTCCCCTCTGGATTACCTGCTGCTTGTGGGCAGCCCTGTCCTGGCTGGCCTCTCTAACAAGCAAACGTGCCCGGCAGAGACGGTGG